CATTTGCAAATGTGGGTGCCTTTTGTATTTGGGGCACAGGTGTTCAGAATTGAGACTTCATCTTTTTGGAGCTTTCCTGTGATGAGTATGAAATGCCCTTCTTCATTTCTTTTTATTTATTTTTGTTTGAAGTTTAATTTGTTAGATTTTTAGGATTGCTTGTTTCTTGGTTCCATCTGATTGGAAAATCTTTCCAACCCTTTACTCTGAGGCACTGTCTGTCTTTGAATTTGAGATGTGTTTCTTGTATGCAGTAGGGTTGATTCTTTGTATCCATTCTGTTAGCCTGTATCTTTTTATAGGCAAGTTAAGACCATTAACATTGAGGGATATCAATGACCATTGATTGTTGATTCTGTTTGTTTTGGATTTGTTGTTGTTGGTGTTATTGTGTGTGGATTTCCCCACTTTTTTTGTGGTGTTTGGTAAAGTTTTTGTGTTTGGTAAACAAAAATCTATTGTTTTTTGAGCCTAGTTATCTTCATTGTGTTGGAGTTTTTCTTCCAGTAATTTCTGTAGGGCTGGATTTGTGGATATGTGTTGCTTAAATTTGGTTTTCTCATTGAATATCTTGTTTTCTCCATTTATAGTGATTGAAAGCTTTGCTATATATAGTAGTCTGGGCTGGCATCCATGCTTCCTTATCATTTGTAGGACTTTCAAAGTTTACATTGAGAAGTCGGGTGTAATTCGGATGGGTCTGCCTTTATATGTTACTTGGCCTTTTCTTTTGCTGCTCTTAATATGTTTTGTTTATTCTGTAATTTTGGTGTTTAGATTATTATGTGGCAAGGGGACTTCTTTTTGTGGTCCAATCTATTTTGTGTTCTGTAAGCTTCTTGTACTTCATAGGTATGTTCTTCTTTAGGTTCAGGAAGTTTTCTTCTATGATATTGTTGCATATGTTTTCTGTACCTTAGAGCTGAATTTCTTCACCTTCTTCTATACCTATTATTCTTAGGTTTAGTCTTTTCACGGTGTCCCATATTTCCTAGATATTTTGTGTTAGGGACTTGTTGGGGTTGAGATTTTCTTGCTCGATGACTGTATATCCTCTAATGAGTCTTCAACAACTGAGATTCTCTCTTCCATCTCTTGTATTCTATTAGTTATGCTTACATCAGAGGTTCCTGATCATTTACCCATCTTTTCTATTTCCAGCATCCCCTCATTCTGTGTTTTCCTTATTGTTTCTAATTCTGCTTTCAAACCATCAACTGTTTGAATTGTTTCCTTCACTTGTTTGGTTTCGTTTTCTTGGCTTTCTTTAGATTCTTTTAGAGATTTTTTTTTATTTCTTGAAATTTCTTGGTTTGTCCTTCCTCCATTTCATGTATTTTTTGCATGTTTTTTCTTCTATTTCTTTAAGGAATTTTCTTGTTACCTCTTTAATGGTCTCTATTATCTTCATTAGACAATTTTTAATGTCCATCTTTTCTTCATTCTCTGCATTGGGCTTTTCAAATCATGCTCGTGTGGATTCCCTAGATTCTGGTGGTGTCATATTGGTCTTTCTGTTGTTTAGTGTGTTCTTATTCAGTCTTCTTCCCATCCCTTCTTCCAGTGGGTACATGTGGGGTCTCTCCCTCTCTCAAGTGGCAGGCAGAGGCTCAGGCTCAGGCTCAGGCAGCAGGCAGAGGGCAGAGGGTGTGTCCAGACTCAGGATGGGCCTTCCAGTCTGGGCAGGTCCACTCTTGTCCAGGAGGAGGCTCAGGAAGAACCTAGCAGGAGGTGATGTGGGAGGTTGAGGGAAGAGTAGAACCCAGACTCACTTAAGCAGCAGGCAGAGGGCAGAGGCTGGAGGGGGAACAAGGATGCAATGCGTTCGCACTCAGGGTTGGCCTCACTTTCTATGTTTTTGAGGTTTTTTTTTTTTTTTTGAGAGAGAGAGAAAAGTATCAAGGACTTGAGTAGAGAAGTGAGAAGGATCTCAGAGGAGATGAAAAAAGAAATAGTGTGATCAAAACTTATTTTATGAACAAAAGTAATTTTAAATAAAAAGCTTACTAAAAGAAAGGAAAATAGAGAGTGGATTTAAATGGACTTTTAAATGATACATATATTTGGTGCCCATACTAATCATGTACTTTTAAAATATTTTATATTCTTTTATTTAAATATGTATTGGGGTTTTCTTTCTTTTCTTTTTCAACTATTTTTCTATCATATGTTACATAAAACTTGTCGATTTTACAAAAACAAGGAGAAACATAGCTTTTGTATAAGGTTTGCATATATAAGGAGAGGGACAGAGAGAGGCAGATGGAGGGAGGAAGGGAGTGAGGGAGAGGTGGATTTTATCATATGTGAAGAAGTTAAATTCACATTGGTGGGGGTACAAATATGGTTCAGCAGTAATCCATCTTGTGTAGGATCCCAGTTTGGTCTCGAGCTCCCACATCAGGTGACTCACAACTGCCTTCTGCATGAACTCCTTGGAATCCAGTGCCTCAGGCTTCTCTGATAGCACCTACACTCATGTGCACATATTCACACAGAGCCACTTATAATAAAAAACTCAATAATAAAATGACCTAGGATTTTATGAAACAGATAGTACAGGATTACAGAATAGGTGTTCGCAGGCTATTTAAGCAACCATCTTGTATGCTGAAGAAGTAACAATAGTGAGACCAGGAATGTAGTTAATAAAATATACCTGAAATCATCAAGAGACATGTGTCCTTCTGAGCTCCTATAGGGAGGTGTAGAGCAGATTAGATGGAATTGGATTCTAAACATAAGTTCATGGCAGAATCTAGCACTGAATAAGATTGAATGTATGGCATTAGAACATACTTAAAATATAATCTGAAGCTTCTGGTCTGAGTCAAATGGACATTAAATTGTTAGCTTAATTAATCAAAGAAAACAAATGTTAGTTTTTCCTTTTATTTGGGGGAATGAACTGTTCTGCTTCATTTTCCTTTTTCTTATAAATTCAAAGTCATAAAGCAATACTTTTTAAGGTAAGTTTTTCTTGATGCTTCATTTAATTTTATTTTGTGTTTTGAATAGCTGTGAATTTGTCCTCTCCTAGGAGACTATTCAGATGATTAACATTCAAGCTTGAGTTTTAAATGAAAAGAACTTGCCCCATCCTTCAGCATTTGTCATAGTACATTGCTAGTGGGTCTCCTGAGTTTGGCACTAATATTACAACAAGTCCATATTTACATAATTATCATCTCTATTCCATTTCTTAGTTAAAAAAAAAGTGGAAGAAAACCTAACCATACCATCTACTATGTACTCTCTCTACTTTCCAGTGTGACACTTAAGACAATGAAGAATGGTACCAATGTGGGTTTATATTTCTTATTCTGGGAATTGTTTAAACTAACTCTAGTTCTGTATTCCTTTTAATAACTAATAAACACATATCTTTCTGACAGCATCAGTTAGGCAAAATATAGGTAGCATTTATAACTTACAAAGTTTGGTATAACTAGGCACGACACATGTATATATCTAGGACATTTCAAAAATAGTATCCAGATTATACCAGCAGATCCAAATCAAGGTATTTTTCCCATTAAATTCTTGTTTGTGAGTACAGCTCATACCTGATCTGTCTCCTTCATCTTAAATCCCATCTTGCTCATAGCTGCAGCAATGCAGGTCTCAAGCAGTGAAGTGAGGCTCTGCCATTTCCATTATTTCTTTAAAATCCTCATTTTATAAACATATATTCCTGCTTTTCTATCCACTTTATCTCTAAAGTTACTTTCTCATCTCCTCTCATAGGACTTCCAACAAAGTGCATATTCATCCTGCAGATATGGGATATTGCACAAATCATTTGTCCATGAAAATCTAAATCAAAGTCAGACGTATCAGAGACAGGAAATAACTTCCACTAGATATCTAACTAACATAATGTGTCAGCTCCATCCTCGTGGTTGGAGGCAGACAGACTGCATGTCTCAGCCTTTTAAATACACATGGCGACAAAACAATCTTCCTGTAACACATAACCCTCAAAGTGACCACACAAATTTTTATTTAAAATGTTCTAAAGATTTTCTTGTTTAAGCTGCTTTTGTGGCTATTCCATTTTTTAGACAGTGTCCATTAAAAACAGGTGTGCTTTTGAAATATAGAGCCTATGTGAATTTAAAGGCGTCTCAGGAGAGTAAAATTATAACAGAATAATGGCCCTCAAATGTTGTCCTTCAGTCTTATGACATACTTCAACGACTTTATAGATTTTCAATAAAACTTTCTATGAATACTAATTTTAACCAAGTCCTGCATTATTACTATCCCAAATAAAGGTAAAGTATTCCTATCTCAGAGTATCTGAAAGAAATTATATACAGGTGCTTTATAACAAAATTTTATTACGTGTTTAATCAAGTCATTATTAAACAGTATAGTTTGTAATGCCACCTAGTGGTTTTCTATGTGAAAAAATTGTCCCTTGTGTATAGTAGATACATAATTAGAAACATGTGCTTACAAAGACTAACCTCATCTTATATATTAGCATAGTCTTTCTCTGTGTGTACATACATACAACATATCAAATATGTGTGTGCCGACCTATAAACTCCAAATGTCTAAAAGAATTGGACTACAACAGAAAGAGGTGAATTGCACACCTTAATTTCACTGAAGGTGTGGAAGATATACACTGAGTCATAGAAACATAAGGATGAAGAAAAATCTACAGAATGAATAAATACAAATACCACCAAACTCAGTATGGTTAAAATACCTAAATAAGGCCTAGATGGTTCAGCAGATAAGGATGGCTGCCAGGAAGCCTGGAGATAGTAGTTCATTGCCCAGAACTTAAGTAGAATGAGAGAATTCCACAGTTGCACTAAGGCATTGTCGTCCCCCCCCCACACACACACATACACCAAAAAAAGAAAATGAATAGCAACAGATATTTGCTACATAAATTAGTTTTGTTAATGAAACTTTTAACTTTTACTTCATATGAAACTACTAGGCATAAGCATAAAGCATGGATTGTGAAATGGTCCACATACTATGGTATTTAAAATAGAAGTCTCCAGGAATGAAGATCAAGATTGTGGATCTCTGAGAATCCCTGCAAGCAATTACAGAATAATAGTTAATGGATCATAACTGCTACTTTAAAACATTATGATTCAGACACTAATTATTGATTTGCTTAAAACTGGATATGTGTAACCTAATGTAGAATATTGTTCTTATATATGGATTGCTTTGTGGTGAGATATAGCCTTATTAGGTAGAAATACTTCATTCCACCTCAATGCCCATTTTCCACAGTAGATTTCTCTAGTATTCATGTTTTTTTCTTCTCATCTCCTTGAAATATTTCCATGTCACATGATTCATTCACACATTAGGTACTATATAAATATGATGTTTTCACATGATATATGGCAAACCAAAAATTACATCTTGATAAATGAATCTGCATACAAAGTGTTTCTGAATATCCCCAGATATCTAAGTGCTTCCAAAGCCAAATTCATTCCACTGGCTTTCCAACCCATAAAGAAACTCAGCAAAATTTTGCCATCCAGCATCAACCATTATAACAAAAACAGCAAAGTATCAAATCTGAGTATTTCACTTTTTACCATTTAGTGTCTTCTTAAAACATGAAAGTACTTAAGTCTTATAAACTAAACCTCTTTTGAATGCCCCTTCTTTCTCCAACACACACATGGACACTCACATGCAGAGACTATTAGATTGAGTCCCTAATTCACATTTCAAACCATGCACTGTTTCCCCATAATTCATCTCTTCTTCATTCTATAGTGTGTTACCAACATGATCATTTAAATTACAATAAAATGAATTGGATTTTTAAGTATTAATGACAAAAGTGAAATGGGATGATATATATTCCCATAGAAGTATGGTATAACCAAAAACATGATAAATGAAGACTGAAAAAGTGGAAATACTTTTAAGAAACTATTAAGAACATTAAAAGATGGTGAATGTTTTAGTGCATATCTGAAAATAATGTAAGGAAGATAAGGTAGTGAAACTGAAATAAGACAAAAGATTTTTAAGTGGTAATTGTTAAATAATAAACAAGACATAGCTAAATTTGAGAAGACTGATATATGGAGTAGAAAATATTCAGTAAGAACATTGCTGCATTCAAGTGGAATGTGAACTGTGCTTCTAGGACAGACAGAGTTGAAATATCCAAACCCTGTGTAGTATCTAACAAAATAGACCAATTGTCCCATGGAAGATCTGAGAACTTGATTATTAACTATAATTACAGTGAAATCAGTAATTTAGTCCTAATAGTAATTCTTTAGTATTTGGTCCCTCACACTCTTTTGTTTTTATGTCACTACAATTTTAGAGACTAGTTCTTTGGGAGTTGTTTTACCAGAAAATTTGTATTTTCCTGAAGTTGTACATTAATTACAACTCAATGTACATCCATTACAACTCTAAGAGTTAAGGATTCAGTTACTTCAATGCCACCCACTTTCTCTGCATCTAGACAGATGGAGTTTATTTATTCCTTGATGGAGAATAAGGAAAACTATGTCGTCAGTATTAAATAAACACCCACAGGAAAATAAGAAAGGGGTATTCAATGGACCTTACAAAAAAGTTAAATAAATGAGAAGAAAGAATGTAGATCCATAACTTGGAGTGGAACATGGCAATTCTTATGAGGTTGAGAACAATCTTGAATCCATCCCAATAAAAATAATGTTTCAGGTCACTTGTCTGGGGAAGATGAGAGCGATTTGTCCCTGTTTCCTCATCCTCCTCAGGGCAACTGCATGGCCAGAAACAATATTGTTAATACAAACATTAAATGTCACTACTAAATATAGCAAGGACTGATATAAATGCAAAAACAAAGAAACAATGAGCTTGCTCAGTATTTGTGTACACTAAGCTTAACTCTATCCTGTGTTGTTTTCTAACTCTAACTTCCTATACATATATATATATTAAGTGAATATGGGTTTTTCATATGAAAAATGCGTTAGAAGTGGGGTTTAATGAAGAGTGTTTTGACCAGCTATACTCAATTCTAATTATATACTATCTTGGATACTGTTTACACAATAAATAATATGGACTCTACACAAAGAATTTAGTGAAAGAAAATAAATTAATCACTGAAATTTTCTGAATTTACATGGGTTTCTTAAGATTTATTTTGTTTCTTGAGCTAGATAGGCTTAATTCTGCAATAAATAAATAAATAAATAGATACAGCCACATGTGGCTGTATTGGAGTTCTAAGTGGAATAAACATAAGTTAATATTTATATGTGTATCAAAGGATAATACAGAGTCCTTACAACAACAGCAACAACAAAAATCTCTCAAACTAAACCTAACACAATCAATCTAAATGTTAAATTACTAGAAATCTAATTTATCTGGTATGCCCACTGCATATATAATAATAGCACGTTCACTTAATATGGAATACATTCCAAGAATAATAACCATATATGTTTAACTGCTTTTAGATTATTTTCGGGATTTAGGGAATGAATATCCCTTAATTCTATTCTATGGAACAATTGGATCAGTTATGTTAACTAAATACATTGTTACACAATGGGGGTTTTCTATTGCTATTAACCAAGTCATGTTTACTACTAAGTGAGTTGAGGTCACCTTTCTGAGAATAAAGATGAGGATTCCTGGGATTATATAAAAATATATATGAATATATATATATATATATATATATATATATATATATA